CAAGGCGTTCCACTTATAAACCAATGTACATTGACAAATAATGAAAAAATGAAAATGTGATCATATAATTAAATTTTAGAAGAATCGTAATAAATCACTTACAAGAATCTCAGCAATAACACGAGGTTGACGAATAGGTTTCAAGATAAAAACTAGTAGTCGAGTGATGACAACCACCAATGTCAATTGCACAATAAAGAGTGGCAATGAATAATCAAGTGGATTATCACCTTGCCATATTCCACTCGTAGTTATCATCGTTGGTGCGTAACATACTATCGAATCATAGATTTTATCCTCCGCATTCGCTATTATTATCTCTTCCGCCATACTGATCAAACGTGACCCAAAAATTATCGTACTTAATTAGATTTCAGGTTCAAATCACACATATGATATTTTTATAGCTTTTTGAATTCTCTTATTAGAATTTCTAGCTTTGCTACGACGTCAACATTAATGAATGCCATGCATGCATGTTTTCGAGTGCTTGTCAATTAGCTCAACAAGAAAGAGAAAAGTGATAAAACAGAAAATTGTTTAGGATAAATTTTTGAGGGAAAGAGAGTTGAAAATTTTATTATTTCTTGGCTTTGTTAAGCTAAGAAAGTAAACTTAAAAATATAGTAACTACAAAAATGGGAACAGTAGCAAATGTAAACCACAGAAATGCTTGAAAGTAGCAGGATTGTTGTAAGTGAGACAACATTTTGTGACTCCAAAAATGAAAAAACTGTAATTTGGACTAATTAGGGAATAATTTAAATAAACCCCAAATATAATTTAAAAAATATTATTTTAAGAATTTATGCTCTAAATAAATTATCATCCAATACAAAGAACTTATAATTAGTCCTAAGTTATAAGTCTAATTCAAACAGATCAGTCTTCCTCCAAAATTAGAGATTAGCTAAATGTTACATTTATTCATATGCAAAAACAACTATTCGTTTTGAATCAAGATCGCATAATTTTTTGGAAAAAAACTTACACCATTAAAAATATTAATTCTTACACATTATATATAACTTCCTTTATTTAACTACTAATATGAGACTTTTGTTTAGACCCAACATGATATTGTCCAACAAGATATAATTAAGTCATTATTTCTTTTATCCATAATTCTCAATTAATTAACTAGTTCAAAACGAAGAATATGGTGGGTTAAGACGATCAGAGGCGGAGCTAGGTGGGGGTTCGTGGATTCTATATTTTTACTAGAAAATTAAATATATATATATATATATATTATGTATATTAACTTATCGACCAGGTTCAGTGATAAAGAAGTGATTGTAAAACACTCAAACTCTTAGGGTGTGTTTGGTATGAAGGAAAACATTTTCCGGAAAATGTTTTCCAATTTTCTCATGTTTGGTTGGGTTAAATGTTTTCCAAATCAACTCATTTTCCTCAAATTTAAGGAAAATGACTT